TCTCTCTCTCCCCCCCCCCCCCACAAACACACACACACACACACAAAAAAAAAAAAGGCAGCATACAACAGTGAAGGCAGAGAGGTGGGTAACATAGCAGAAGTCTTTCTTCACATTTACATCCAGAAAAAAAACAAACAAGGAAGAAAAAAAACAAAACCACAACAGCAACACCATGCATGAACGAATGCCGAGAGACGAGCCAAAAAAGGCAGCACACAACAGTGAAGGCAGAGAGGTGGATCACATAGCAGAAGTCTTTCTTCACATTTACATCCAGAAAACAAAGAAGAAAACAACAGCAACACCATGCATGAACGAATGCCGAGAGAGAGACGAGGGCGTGCAACGCCGGCGCCGGCGCCGTTCCCAATACAACAACGAAATGACCGTTTCAACAGAACATTGCAATTGTCTAAGCATTAGAAACGACCATGCTGGTGGTAATCTTAGGTGGGATTGAATGGGTTAGCACCGATGAAATTTTTGTGGTTGGGAGGCTTTTGATACATCAATTCGAGAAGAATATTTTCTATGGAAGGCTCTACTGCTTTGGTAGGTTTTGTGTAGTGGATTATGAATGCTTTTGAGGCTTATATTTTTCAAGTGTTATAGCCGAAGCCGGGTAATGGCCCCGGTAATTCGCTTTATTGTATTCTGATAACGGACGCTGGGCCCGGTTCCCAGCCGTGTTGCTCCCCACGAATAGATCGGAGCATCGTCCATCCTTTAAATAATAATAATAATAATAATAATAATAATAAATTACAGTCATGTAAACTATCAATCACATATCCTTAATATAATATAATAATACTCTTAAAGCAAATAGCGGGTCGCACGTGACGCTCCCACTCAGACCTGTCTTCCAGTGTTGGGAAAGCCGCCGGGACAAGGGAAGGGCCCAACGAAATGAAGAGCTGCTGTGGTTTCCAATTCGTCGGGCGCATGTTCGAATACAAGTACATAGCGCCGTGATGCGCAGAGGCGTCAGTTTTTCTTTGTGAGGCAGCCAATTTTCTTTTTGCTGCGCGTTCGAATCTGGCCCTAATTTTCGTTTCGGCGCGCACTCGAATCGGCTGTTGGGAGGAGCTGCGCCAATTTTCTTTTTGCGGCACGTTCGAAACTGGCCCTAATTTTTGTTTCAGCGCGCGCTCGAATCGGCTGTTGGGAGGAGCTGCGTGGGCAACTGGGGACCGACGTGCCGGGAAGCTGGAAGCATCGTGTGTGTGTGTGTGTGTGTGTGTGTGTGTGTGTG